GGGAGTCGGGGGCTCGCCTGTGGCCGCGGCCAGTGCGGGCTCGATCGCCACTGCCTCCGGCTCCTGGGCCCGGGACCCTCCGGCCTCGCCTCCCGAGCAGCTGGGACCGCGGCCCGCGCCACCACGCCCGGCTGCTCCTCGCGCTTTTCGGCAGAGTTCGGGTCTGGCTGTGCTGACCGGCCTCTGGGCTCCAGCGATCCTCCTGCGTCGGCCTCCCGAAGCGCTGGGTGACAGGCGCCAGCCACCGTCTGTTCCCGAGAGGCATGGCAGGTATTTTGAGTTGAGGCAGGGCCCCGGATCAAGGCGCTGCAGGCGCTGAGGAGGGCACAGACCCTGGCGAGGTCTGGGGTGCATCCCTGCAGGTTATGGGCCTTGAGCTGCAGCTTATTATTGTTTTTTGGGTCAGAGTCTCCCTCTGTCGCCCAGGCTGGAGTGCTGGGGCCCGCTCACGGCCACCCCAGCCTCGACCTGCTGGGCTCCAGCGATCCTTCTGCCTCAGTCTTCCAAGCAGCTGGAACTGCAGGTGCATGCCACCACACCTGGCTAATTTTTTGATTTATTGTAGAGATGAGGTGTCACCAAGTTGCCAGGGCTGATCTCAAACCTGTGGGCTCAGGCCATCCCCTCGCCTCAGCCTCCCAAAGTGCTGGGATGACAGGCTGAGCCATGGAGCCCGGCCCTGAGCTGAATCTTAAAAGGATGGGGCGAGTTCGCTAAGCTGAGCACTGAAGACCCGGAAACCTTGGCTTCCCTCCTGACTGCGCAGAATGAATTACTTCACCGGTTCGGCTCCTTCCCCGCATGGGGAATGGATGCAGTCAGAGGTGTTCTGTCCGTCCTTTCCCGTAGTATGCGGCTGCGTTATCCTTGCCTCTGGAAGCACCTCCTGGCCCTCATGGGGTTTGGGCGGAGGGCCTTGGGGTCTGCAGTGGGGCCGAAGGGGGCAGGTGCCTCCAAGTGCCTCTGTGTCTGCAGCGCAGGCCTGGCAGGGCTGATGCCGGCACCTCCGCTCTGGGCAGTGGACTCCCTGGATGTGCAGACCCTGCAGCAGGTGGCCCTCTTGCCGCCGGGCAGAAGAGTCTATTGATCCCTTGGTCACCTGCCAGGTGTGCCACAAAGTCTAATTTGTGTTCACAGAAACGCTCTCGTGTGATCGTCAAGCGCTGATGGCACAGTGTTAGTTATTTTCAGGACGTGCAGAGAGGTTGTGCTTTTTTCCTCCCTGGATTCAAAGCACCCTAGGAATCGAGAACCCGGGGCCGGGGAGTGGCAGAACTCCAGTCTCACTGCGAGGTGCCTCTGTGAACCAGCCCAGACCAGGGTGGCGAATGCTCTTCCTGGCCTGCTCAGCAGCTTATGACATGCAACCCCACCCACCCACGGCACATGGCTGGGGCTCGGTGGTTGGCAGCTTCCCGCTGCACACACTGTCCTTCCTGCCTTCCCTGGGACCTATCCATGTGACAGGGTCACGGACAACCCCAGCCCGCGGGTTCTGGGAAGCCTGATTAAAAACCTTGGTCCGGCGGTCCCTCTCACCCATGCCAGTTCTGGCATGTTTCCCTTTCTTTCCTCTCTTCTTTCTCAAGTTTTGTTGTAAAACTTTAAAAAGTAAAGAAAACTAAAAAACAAAATAAAAACCTTGGTCCAAGGAGTCCTCCTGTCCACCCTCGGGAGTGAAGACAAAGAACAGAAGACGCAGTGGCTCCCTCGATTAAACCAGAAGCCGGCGGTTCCGGGTGTGCCTCCTCATACCGCAGCCCCCACCTTTCTGGCACCGTGGAGGGCTACTTTGCACGGCTGGGGGTGGGGAGGCAGGCGCTGCTCCGAGGAGCCACAACCCCCGTCCCTCCACGCACGGTTCACAGTGGGTTTGCGCTCCTGTGGGGTTCTGACGCCCGTGGATCTGACAGGAGGTGGGGCTCAGGCGGGGCTCCGGAGGTTATACGAGCGATGGGGGCGGGGCGTCAGTCCACAGAGAAGAAGCTGCAGCTCGCCTCCTGCAGCTCGCCTCCTGCTGTCGGGGTGGGGGCCCCGACTCTCCTAGTTTAAGGCCCTGTGCACTTGTGACTCTTACTCAGGAATCTGAGGTTCCTGAGCTTGATGAATTTCAAGGTCTTCTTGCAAGGATCCGTTAATGCGCAGAGGGTTCGTACCACTGGGTAGGGTGCTCACAAACCCATTTGTTTTGCAGACGGGAAAACTGACCCCCAGAGAGAAGGCCGCAGCACTTTGGGTTCATTCTTTTCTTCCCCAGGACGGCAAATAAACTGCTTCGAAGATGTCTGAGAACCCCGACAAGTCCAAGCTGAATGAGGCAAGAAAAGCAAAGCCAAGCGATTCTGAGCCAGGCCTTGGAGATGCCCTGGAAGGTTCTGAGGAGGCTCTGCAGAGGAAAGTCAGGCCGGACGCCCCCAGCCCCCACCGAGGGCCGCGACCTCACTGTAAGCAGCGCTGTCTTGGGCGGCAGCCTTGGGCTGGACTCTCCTTACGCGGTAGCATGGCCAGGCATTCATTCGCCTTGAAGAACAGTTGCTGTGTCTCAGCTGGCAGTCTAAGTGGGGTCTTTTTCATCCTCCAGGCAGTTGTAACCTGCAGCCTTGTGACTTGTGGTTTTTTCCAATTGCATGAGAACTTAAAATTTTAGATTAATGTCCAGCATGCTGTTGTCTCTCTCCAGCCTCAGTGCCCTCCTGTTTCTCTGAAGCTCTGGGAAACACTTGGGCAGAGTGTAGACTGTGGCTTTCATGAATGGTGTTTGAGAATCTGAGGCAGATTCCATCTGGACTGCATGCGGGTTGAAAGAAAAGTGCTTGTGAGTTCAGTACACACTGACTCTGCTGCCCGGGGCTTCATTCCCAGGAGTGGAGGCGCGGGCCCTTCAGGCCCTGGCAGGGGCAGCCTGTGGTGGTGAGGGGTGCTGCCCATGACTCTCAGCCGGGTCCTCACCTCACCCTCACCACGGTCTTAAGTGAAGAATCCTTGGCCGGGCACAGTGCTCACGTCTGTAATCCCAGCACTTGGGGAGGCCGAGGCGAGAGGATTGCCTGAGCCCACGGTTTGAGACCAGCCCGGGCAACTTGGCAAGACCTCTTCTCTACAATAAATTTAAGAATTAGATGGGTGTGGCGGCGCGTGCCTGTAGTTCCAGCTACTTGGAAGATTGAGGCAGAAGGATCACCTGAGCACAGCAGGTTGAGGCTGTGGTGGCTGTGAGTGTGACACTGCACTCCACCCTGGGTGACAGAGTGAGACTCTGGCTGGAAAAAAAAAAGAATCCTTAAGGGTTTTGAAGTGAGTCCAAAAATTAGAACTTTAAGAGGGAGTGTCGTCTGGGTGCGGTAGTTCAGCCTGCAATCCCAGTACTTTGGGAGGCTGAGGCAAGAGGATTGCCTGAGCTCAGGAGTTTGAGACCAGCCCTGGCAACTTGGCGAGACCTCGTCTCTACAATAAATCAAAAATTAGCCGGGCGTGGAAGTGCACACCTGTAGTTTTGGCTCCTTGGAAAGCTGAGGCGGTAGGATTGCCGGAGCCCGGCAGGTCGAGGCTGTGGTGGCTGTGATCTTGTCACTGCACCTTAGCCTGAGACAGAGTGAGACTTCAACTAAAAAAAAAAAAAAGAGGGAGTGTCACAGTCTAGGAATGTCAGCATCAATGGTGTCTCTTTAAAGTGGAGGTGGTCAGTCGTCCTGCATATTGGAAAGAAGCACCAACATTTTGGGCTTTGAGGTTTCTGCTAGAGATCCAAGCCCTTCCCAGGAGTTTATTCATCAATGTGGTCTTCCTATAGCAAACATTAGCGGACTCCATTTTATTCTTTTTTTACTTTTTATTTTTTAACAGATTCCATTTTATCATGGTTTGTCGTCACCCGGATTTTGATAAACTGCAAGGCCAAGTTGTATCTGGGAGGCAGGCTGTTAACAGCACGGTCCACCACACATGTGTCAGCCTTGTCTCCGGTGTGTGTAGTTGGAGAGACTGCTTCCCGTCTTTAAATTACTAAAGAAAATACACCTGTCTCTTAGGGTGGTTGGAAAGAGCAAATGAATCTTTCTAGCTTGGGCAGCATAGTGAGACCTCCTCTCTACCAAGAAGAAATAAAGTTAGCCAGGTGTGGTGGCACTGCCTGTAGTCCCAGCTACTTGTGAGGCTGATGCAGGAGGATCTCTTGAGCCCAGGAGTTGGAGGCTACAGTAAGCTGGGACAGTGCCACTGCACTCCAGTCTGGGTGACAGACTAAGACCCTGACTCCAAAAAAAAAAAATTCCTGTAAAACACTTGGAATGGTACTTGGCACACAATACATGCTCAATTATGTTAATTTTGTAGCTGGCTGTGGGGGTGCATGCCTGTAGTCCCAGCTGCTCAGGAGGTTGAGGTGAGATGATCGCCCGAGCCCAGCAGGTCAAGGCTGCGGTGGCTGTGAGTGTGCCACTGCACTCCAATCTGGGCAACTGAGTAAGACTCTGACTCAAAAAAAAAAAAAGAATTTACAAAACATGAAATCAACTATTGTGAACATTTCTGTAAGTACATTTTCCGTAAATACATGTTCTGTAAATGTGTAGCTGCTGAGTTTAAAGTAACTCTAAGATCACATCTAGAGTTCTACAAATTCTAGAAATGTAGAGAGGGAAAAGACAGCATTTATTCTTGCAAATTATAACACAGAGTAATATTTTAGGGGTGGAATTACTGTTGGTACCAGGTACAGAATATTGAGAAAGGAAAAATGACTGACTTGTAAGGGCTGTAATCGAGGTGGTAATTTAATTCTGAAAGATGATCTGTTCTTATACGTAGAGGTCCTTAGAGCAAGGATCAATCAACTGTAACTTAATGGTGTTTCCTCTAAGACGCTCAACCTCATATACTTTGATCCTCTGCCTATAAAGCACTTTCTGTTCCAGTGTTTAGTCACCTGGTTGACCAGTGAAGGATACCATATTCAGATGACACACTGCAACTGTTATTCCAGCTACCATGTCCCACTTAGTGTCCTGGTTTATTAAATCAGGTCCTGCCGGGTGAAGTGGCTCACCCCTCTAATCCCTGCACGTTGGGAGGCCCACGCAGAAGAATCACTTGAGTTAAGATCAGCGTGGTCATAGTGAGAACCTATCTCTACCAAAAAAAAAATCAGGCTGAGGTGAGTGGATTGCCTGAGCCTGCGGGTTTGAGACCCTCCTGGGCAGGCGAGACCTCATCTCTACAATAAATCAAAAAATCAGCCAGGCATGGTAGCACATGCCTATAATTCTGGCTACTTGGAAGGCTGAGGCGGAAGGATCGCTGGAGCCTAGCAGGTCGAGGCTGCGGTGGCCAGGAGCGGCCACCTCACTCCAGTCTGGGCGACAGAGTGAGACTCCAACTCAAAAAAAAGAAAAAAATCAGGCTGGGCTCAGTGGCTCAGTCTGTCATCCAGTGCTTTGGGAGGCTGAAGTGAGTGTTTTGCTTGAGCCTTCAGGTTCCAGGCCAGCTCAGGCAACTTGGTGAGACCTCATCCCTACAATAAATAAAAAATTAGCTGGGTGTGGTAGCACGTGCCTGTAGTTCCAGCTGCTTGGAAGACTGAGGCGGAAGGATCGCTGGAGCCCATCAGGTCTACACTGGAGTGGCTGTGAGTGTGCCACTGCACTTCAGCCTGGGTGACGGAGTGAGACTCCACCCCCCCCCCCAAAAAAAAAAAAAACCAAAAAATGAGTTGGGCACAGTGGCACATACCTGTAGTCCCAGCTACTCGGAAGGTTGAGGTGGAAAGCCAGCCTGAGCCCAGGAATTAAGGCTATGGTAAACCGTGATCATGCCACTGCACTCCAGCCTGGGCAACAGAGTGAGATCCCAACTAAAAAAATAAATAAGTCAGGTCGTTGTGAGTCCAGTTAGTGGACCCTCTCATCCTTGCAGCTCTAAAGCTCATGCCTGGGCTTTGGACAATGGTGTCTTCATATTCAACTGACTATGTGGTAACTGATCATATACAGCATGAGGGTCCTGCAGCGAGCCAGGCTCGTGGCATCTCTGTCCTCAGGGCTCTTGCCGTCTAGCGAGGAAGACAGACTGGCCGGAGTTCCCGTGTAGGGCAGTGTGTCTCTCACCTGACTTGGTGACCGGCATGTCTGCCCCCCTCCACGTTGGTCCACTTGTGTGTCTAGAGTCACTCTGGATGTGAAACTTCTCAGGTCCCAGGATACCTCAGGAAGGAAAGGCAGACAGAGTAGCCTCTCAAGCAGAACATCCTTCCTTTGGGATCTGTCTGGCAGCCCCTGCAAGGGTGCGTTCAGCATCGCGTGGCTTGTCTTTCTCCATTAGGTGTTTGTGCCCAGACACTGTGTCTGGGCACAGTGTTAGCGTTAGCTTTGTGTTGCAGGGTTAGATGAACTCAAGGTGAGATATGTGCACCCTTACCTTTTTTTTTTGGAGTTGGAGTCTCACTCTGTTGCCCAGACTAGAATGCAGTGCCAGGCTCCCGGCCACCGCAGCCTCGACCTGCTGGGCTCTGGCGATCCTTCCGCCTCGGCCTTCCAAGTAGCCGGAACTACAGGTGCGCGCTACCATGCCTGGCTAATTTTTGATTTATTGTAGAGACGAGGTCTTGCCAATTTGCCCGGGCGGGTCTCGAACCCACGGGCTCAGGCAATCCTCTCACCTCCCAAAGTGCTGGGATTACTGGCTGAGCCACCGAGCCCGGCCTACCTTTTTTTAAGAGATGGGATCTCTGTGTTGCCCAGGCTGGCCTTGACCTCCTGGGCTAGGCAGTCTTTCTGCCTCGGCCTCGGCTGGGACTCCAGGCAGATGCCACTATGCCCGGCTTGATCGTATCTCTTTGATGGCTTTATTACAGCTCCATTCTCTTCATGGGTTGAGCTGAAGCTGAGTTGTCCACCAAGGTGCGTGTTTATGTGTTTTCATTTAGGAAATTGGCAAATCTGAGGACTCTCAAAAGACCAAGAGCCACAGCCCAATAATTTGTGTGAGCAAGTAATTTCCTCGTGTGTAGACCTGCAATATAGCCTGGTTGTGTCTTGGGACTCTGGCTGTTGCCTTTCTTAATCAGATGCCCTCCGCTAATCAGTCTGGTTCAACGAGTCCCCACCTTGGACAGCTCCTGGACATGGTCTTCCAGGATGTCTGCCGTTCTCAGTACTTGGGCCAAGCCGCTTTGTCCCGAGGATGCCCCGAACACTGAGGGCACACTGACCTCAGGCTGGAGGATTCCTACTTTTCATAAAGCACCCTTAAAGTCTCCTCGTTTTGCCTGTGGAGAAAAATGGCCGTGGAAAATAAGTGACTCATTCAAGGTCATGCTCAGCTGTGTTTAGAGGAAGTCGAATCCCTTCCTGTTGTGCTTTGTCTACTGCATTTCAAGACTCGGCAGCAAAGGAAAGTGCCTGCTGTTGCCCAGATGCCTAAAATTGTGGAAAAACAGCAACTTACCCAG